GAGAAAATATGTTATGCTTTAGCTTGTACAACTAAAAGACTCAAGCAATATATGCTTTACTATACGACTTGACTCATAGCTAAATTGGATTCTATAAAATACGTCTTCAAGAAGCCATCATTATCAAGAATAATCGCAAGATGACAAGTGATATTTTCATGATACGACAATGCATGTGAGCTAACAAGCAATCAAAAGAAACATTATTGCTAAATTTTTAACAGATAAAGCTATTGATGATTACAAACCTATGAAGCTGAATTTTTCAAATGATGAATTAATTGCCATCTCAAGGATAAAAAAAGATAACAGCAAAGAGAAGATATGGAGAATGCATTTCGATGGGACCGCTAATGCCATGAGGCATGAGATCAATGCAATCTTAATATCTCCTATAAACCATTACTATCCTATTATAACAAGATTGAACTTCAATTGCACCAATAATGTAACTGAATATAAGGCTTATGTTATGGGCCAACATGTTGCTTTGGATAAAAAAATTAAAATGTTAAAAGTGTTTGAAGATTCAACTCTAGTCGTTTATCAATTAAAAGATGAATGAAAAACAAGGGATTCAAAACTCATCCTTTATCACAAATACATCTTAAAGTTGTGTAAACAATTCAAGGCAATTCAATTTGAACAATTGCCCCGTGAAGAAAATCAAATTACAAATGCCTTGACTACCTTAGCTACAATGGTACAGAATGGTGATACTATTAAAATTTAGCCTATCAAACTAAATATCAAAGATATGCCAGTACATTGTGCCAAGCTTAAAAGAGGAAAAAGATGCCCACTCCTGATATCATGATATTATGCGATATTAAAAGAATCAACAGTATCCAAATCGAGCAACAAAAAATGATAAAAGAATTTTAAGAAAGTTGAATATTATATTCTTTTTAGATGAAAAAATTTTGTACAAAAGAGATAAAGATCAAGTATTATTACGTTGTGTATGTGCTTCTGAGGCCAAAAAGATTAATGAGGAAGTTCACAATAATGTATGTGAAGCATATGCAAATAGGCATATGATGACAAAACAAGTTATGCAAACTGAATATTACATGTTGACAATGAAAAAAGATTACATTAATTATGCTAAAAAATGTCACAAATACCAAATTTATGCTGACAAGATTCATACTCCACCCGGTGCTTTACATGTCATAGCATCACCTTGACCATTTTCTATGTAGGAATTGGATTTCATTAGTCTTATCACACCAAAAGCCTCAAACGAGAATAGATTCATTTTTTTTATGATTGATTACTTCACTAAATAGGTTGAAGTCACCTCTATCACAACTGCGATTAGATCAGTGGTCTATAAATTCATCAAAAGAGAAATAATCTGTAAATACGAACTCTCAAAAAAATTATCTCAGACAATGCAAAGAATCTAAATAGCAAGATGATGCAAGAAATATGTGTTTAATTCAAGATCAAACATCATAATTCAGCTCCATATCGCTCAAAAATGAATGAGACAGTGAAAGCTGTAAATAAGAACATCAAAAAGATTCTGAAAAAGATAACAAAAACATACAAAAACTGACATGAGAAATTGTCTTTTGCCTTACAAACGTATCAAACTTCTATGCGCACTTCTACTGAGGCAACTCTCTTTTTCTTGGTTTATAAGATGAAAGTTGTATTGTCAATAGAAATTGATATCTTATCCCTTAAAGTTTTAAGAAAAGTAAGATTAAAAGAAGCTAAATGAGTCCGAAAGCGTTATGAACAATTAAACTTTATTGAAGAAAAAAAATTAACAGTACTCTGTCATAGCCAATTGTACCAAAAGAGAATGATGAAAGCTTATGACAAGAAGGTCAAACTACGTCAATTCTGAAAAAAAAAAGCTACTATTGAAAAAAATCCTTCCAAGTCAACATGATGATAGACGAAAAATAAACTCTAAATTATGAAAGATCATATATGGTTAAAAAAAGCTCTTTCAAAAGGAGCCTTAATCTTGTCAAAAATAAAAGGAGATGAACTTCCTAACGCTGTTAATTTTTGATGCAATAAAAAAGTATTTTGCTTGATTCTAAAAAAAGAAAAGTTTAAATTGAAAACTCGAAAAGGTAACTTGAACAAAAAAAAAAGTTCGAGTTGAAAATCGAAAGGACAACTTGAACAAAAAAAGGTTCAAGTTGAAAACTCGAAAAGGCGACTTGGATTCAAATAAAAAAGTTCAAGTTGAAAACCTTGAAAGGCAACATGAATTAAATGAAAACAAACTCAGGTGAATAGAATATGCCATCACTTGAAAGGTATACTAACGACAATGAATTTCAAAAAATTTTGAAGTATTGATGCATCGTATTTTAATTGAATTTTTAAAAAAAATCCAAGATTCGTTGTCATGATTATCTAATCATTTCTCTTGAGGCATTGCTACCCTAAATAGCCGCTCTTGTACATTTTTTTTTATTTTTATACCATCATTTGTAATTTATTGCTTATCCAAATAAATAAAAGCCATCTTATTGTTATCTCCTAGTTTTATACATTGCCAATATATATTTGTCTTTTCTCTTTATGCCTTGCCATGAATGAAAGAATAGCATAATTTGCATCCCACACTTTCAAATTGAAATAATGATTAATAATTAAACAAAATCATAAAAAGTGTTACTTTGAAAAATCAAAGAAGACAAGAACTGAAGATGAACTCTTCCAAAAATTGAACAAAATAGCTTCCATAGCCTTTCTAGGGATAAAGATAAATATTCATGCTAATGAAAAACAATTTTTTTGTCAAAAGTGTGCAGAAATGAGAATGTAAAAGCCTTAGTACCATAATTAATGTTTCATTTACATCCTAAATAAGGCATGCTTTTACATCATTCACTTGATTTTGACTCAATCCAAATCATTTCTCATAATTCGTGATTTCATCTTGATCATTTTTTATCTCAACTTGTCTTGATTGCTTCATTTTAACTCATGATTTCATCCAGATCATTTGATCTTGGCTCAATCCAGATCATTTTTTATGATTCATGATTCATCTCGTTCATTTTCGACCTTGACTCGATGTTGATTACTTCATTTTTTGACTCATGATTTCGTTCTGATCACTTGATCTTGACTTAATTCAAATAATTTCTCATGATTCGTGATTTCATCTCAATCATTTTCGACTTTCATTCAATCTTGACCGCTTTTATTTTGACTCTTGATTTCATCCGATCACTTGATCTTAACTCAATCCAAATCATTTCTCATTATTCGTGATTTCGTCTAGGTCATTTTCAACCTCGACTTATCTTAAGCGTTTTATTTTAACTAGTGATTTCATTCTAATCACTTGATCTTGACTCGATTCAAATCATTTCATATAATTTATGATTTTATCTCGATTATTTTCGCTCTCGACTCAGTCTTTGTTGCTTCATTTTGACTTATGATTTTATCTCGATCATCTGATATTCACTTAGTCGAAATCATTTTTCAAAATTCATGGATCATTTTTTTATTGACTCGAATGAAATAGTGTCTAATCTTTACAACATCCCTATCTAACAGAAATGTACATAAGGACTGTAATGCAACATTTATAAACTAATCAAACTAATTCCCTATCATATTTTTGTTATTATAGTATATATTACTTATTGTACCATTTTAATGTCATTATTATTATATTACTAATGTATATATAATTATTATTATTATTATTATTATATTTCTTCTATTCCTTTATTTCCTTTTTTTTCCAATTTGCACACAGAACAGAAAAAAAATCAGACCAAAATCTTCAATCAATGTTAAATTCAAATATATTCAATGTGATTGATTGAATTTTGAATCCAAAAATCACACTAAACAAAATACAATCTCAAGATTCAAGCCTGCAATTGATTTTGTTCGTTTGTTAAAATTGATCTTAAAACTACCTATAAATTCAATCGACTTTAAAAAAGGTGAACATACAAAAAATTTGTTAGAGAAAAAGGTTTAAGAAATTTTGGGCAAAAACGATTCTAAGAGTTAAATTTTGAGATTTTAAGTGCAATATGAAATTATAGGTTTGATTTTAAGTTTCTGCATTAAAATTAAGGTTTGGGACAATTCTGTAAGTAATTAAGACAAAATTTGAAAGAAATCTAAAAAAATTTGAAAAAATCTAGATTTTTCTAAATATTTTTACGTTCGGATGAATTTTTTAATAAAATTTTCGATGATTAATTAAATTTTTCAACCACATTCCCGCCAATTTTTCAAAAACCGATAAAATTTTTAATTTTCAATTGAATTTGCTAATGGGTTCTTAAAAGATTTTTAAAGAAAAAACAGAGAAAATTAAAGGTAGAGTGAGAAAATAGAGAAAAGAATTAAAAATTACCTTTTATACTGACCAAAAACATCTTTTTAAACACTCAAGATCCGCGCGTTATCCCAATAACCCACATGTTGACCCACATTCCAACAAAACCCAATTGTAAGTTTTCTTTCTTCAATTTTATTTTTATTTTTTGATTTAATTTTATTTTTAACCCATTTTATTTTTATTTATTTTTATTTTATTTAAAAAAAATGTTATTTTGTCATTTTTGTTTCTGAAAGTAAAAAAGGAAAGAAAAATGATTTAATACAAAAAAGCTTTTCTAATAAAATTTTCAAAAACATTTATAAAATCCTTTCAATAAAAATAAAAAATAAAAAAGGCAAAAAAATCTTTTTCAAACAAAAATCCTTACAAAATAAATTTATGAAATCCACTAAACTATTGAAAAATTTTATAAATTAATTTTCAAAGAAAAAATTATCTTCTAAACTATTGAATGATTGCTTCATATTAAGTCCTATCAAACTATTGAAAGACTTTACTAAATAAAATACTTTAATAAATCCGACAACAGAGCTTTTTTAAAATAAAACACTAATCTCTATGAATACTCCTGAGAAAAAAATATTATCTTAAATTACTACCAAATTATTGAGACAATTTCAATATATATTTTCACTATGAAATTATTTGGTAAATCATAAAATGATCAACGCTTGGATAATTTAAAATCAAACTGATACCATCCCTTGAATGAACGTAATAAGGGTGCTACAACATTCTCCATGCTAATCGACTATTTTCACATATCAAAATATGTTGCAAATGACCAATCACACAAACAAAAAAAATTAGTGGCAACTCCTTTCATCTATGTCTAACAGTAAATCCACAAATCTATATATTATGACATATATATATATATACAAATCACTGAAAACAAATCAAAAAGGAAACATTAGATATAGGAGAGGAAACAAATGCACAAAGGAAACATACAATCACTGCAAGTTCTGAAGAATATTATACAGTATATAGCCTGCAAGATTGTTATGGCTTATGTCCCTACAGATTTTGTTAAATATCATTATAAAGATAATCAAATAAAAATAGAGAAAATCAACCAACTATTAAAGATGATACACTCCTTAGAGTTCCTTCAATAATGTTAAACTTTGAAGGCTGTAACCTGTTGACCCAGAAATTCCAAGATTTGATAGTTTACTGACAAAAAGGACAATGGAACTTGGATTTGTTTGAATTATCAGTTTCAAACTTGACCTTTTTAGACAAATTCCATTCAGGCCTACTGATTCTAATAACAAAAAAACCTTATAAATAGAAACTCAATTGATAAGTTGAACAAAAATTCCCAACAAACCATCATTAGTTCATTAGCAACAGTAGAATGAAACATTATATAATTTAAAAGTACCTAAAATTTTACTTTATAGTTGAAGCCTATATTTACACTTGTAAAATAACAACAGAAAAAATAAAATAAGCTTTTTGGCAACATTCTTCAAGGAGGTATCAAATTTTAGATAGATAAAATAAGCTATGTATTTTATAGAATAGTGTACAAATATATCAATTTCTAAATTCAAACACGTTATTAGAAATTTCTATGGAATAGCATATAGAATTATATAGTCACAGTGGAGCATGCCTTCCTTGATTACAGCTGTAATCACAATAGTGCACAAATATATCAATTTGGACATTCAGTTGGTTTATTAGAAATTCCTTAGGATTCTTAAATCTGTTACAGTATATTCTTGATACAAAGCAGGGCAAAAGAAAGGTTATTGAATGGTTCACCATAATTTCTATCATTCGTAGTGTTGCGAAAGTCAATTATCTTCTTGCCCACTAAGATAGTACAAATATTTTTATTTGGTCATTTTCATTTGTAAATCAATATGAAAATTATCTAAAACAAAAGATAAAATGATAAAAATAAATAAATTAAAATAGCGTACAAAATCCTAAAGAATTTCTAATATTGCAACAGAAACATTTGGCCCAAATTCATGTATACAAAACCCCCAAAACTCTAACTCCAATCATGGTAAAGATAATTTATAAGAAAAATCTAAAAACTGAATCATGTCAAAAAGCAAGCTTAGAAGACAAAATTAAGAGCAAATTTATAGTGAAATAAATGAGAGCAGATTTTCCATGAAATTTTATGGATCCTAAAAAGAATTTCAAAAACTTCAGGAATGATGGCATGCCTTATCAATAGTGTCATAGTGTGTTCAAAACTACTTTATCATCTATTTCACTGTAAGAAAACATCAAAAAGAATTAAAAGAACTAATAATAATTCAGCTTGAACAAAGCAGAGGTTTAGGAGCAAATGCAACAACTTAAGTTAAATCAAGTCCATGCAACAACAACCATTGGATAAACCTACACCTCCAAAACACAAATTAAGTGCAACTAAAAATAATAAGCATAAATCATAGTGCTAAAGCATTTCCAAACTTTACACACTCAAAAACTTCATTATAACACACAAATTAACCAAAAATTTATAAACAAATAATAATAAGCAAGCATTACTATTTGAAATAAAGTTTCAATGATCACTTATAGAGATCAAATTGTATTTGTAGAGATTAAATTAGAACAAATAACAATAAGAAAACATATACATAGAGATCAAATCTTCATGTGACTTCATAGACAAATTGTATGTTAAAATTTAAGTTATTATACTTTTCACGTGTTATTATAGATCAAAAAGTGCACAAACTAACTAATAGAAGTTAACTTTCAATTTGTTGATAGATCTTACTTTTTGTTTTAATTCAAGATCATTTGGCTGAAAAGTAAGAAAGTAGGTTACAATAATGCTTACAAAATTGTCACAAAAAGAAATTTTAATTGTAAATGTCAATAAGGAGTTTAGTAGACAGGTTAATATATAGCACTATATCAAAAGGAAACAAACTTTAAAGAACAAAAACCAAGAATCACAGCTTTTTAAGCAAACTGATAATTATTTTGAAACGCTAAACAATTTTAGATGCAAATATTATTCCAAGATGGATTAAATTATAAGATTAAAGCTTTCAAAGTAAGCACAAATTTTCATTTAGAAAAAACAACGAAAATGAAGAATCAACTCGAGATGCAATGTAAATTAAGAAATCAATTTATGATCGTACATTGTTTAGATGATAAAGTTAACCAAATTTCATAGCCATTTTCATATGAAAAAGCAGTTCTTACCCTCATCCTCTTCCCCTTCCCACACCTACCATTTTATGGCAAGACTTATCAGCAACCAGTCCCTACATATGTGCGTTAATGCCAATGCAATTCCACCACCAAAACACAGCAAAGCTACAACCATAGATGTAAATCAATTTCACATATCCAAGAGAGATAGGCTGTATGAAAATTTAATTTTCAAACCAGAAATTGAAGATTTTTAGTGTCTACAAATAATCAAGCGGGGACAAACATAAAAATAATATTTCACCAAGTCAAATACTATTATTTTAAATAGCACAAAAATAAGTGAAAACAATAAAAAATCTTGCTACCACCACCATATCTAATACCATCAATCAGATTCCACCACTAATCTCAATAAAAAAAAAAGTTTAAATTTTATTTTTAAAATATTGCAGTAATAAAAAGAAGAAAACACCTAGCCTAGTTGCCTCAGTAAAAACATAGATTATTTTAAAGTATATCATTTATTGTGATGATGATACCTGCATCTTTTGGTTTGCCTTGAACTTGATTCGACTGCCAAACAATTTTTTGGGGGGTTTTTGTAATGGATTTTTCAAAACAGGGAGCTATTTTTTTCTTTGATAGGAGAAAAAAGTCTTAATTTTCTGTAAGAAGCCTAAAGATCAAGCAAAATTAAACAAAGCTCAAGGGATAAGTTTTGTTTTCAAAACAGTCGCTTAATCTGATGTAATGATGAATTTAATATTTACCAGAAGAGTGTTGCTCATTGATTTGCATACCGGGTTAAAGTGTCTAGTTTTTCTTCTCCCTGTAGTTAGTAGAAGGAGAGTGATGGAAGCTAATCTGATTCTGATCTGATGGATGGGAGACAGGTTGAAGTGTAGGCAAAATGTGAAAAGGAATGGAAAATTGTACCTTACCTTCCTTTTCCTTGAACTGTTAAATATTTCAAGCTAAATTGTTTTTCAATTCTAAAAGCACAGGAAAAAAATATAAATGAGTCAACGAAAAAAATAATAAAAGAAAAAACAACCTGCAACTTCGTTGCATTGTATAGATAATGCTATTTCTACACAGATGAACAATCATTCAATAATGCAAATCAAAACAATTCTATGATTAACTACCTTCACAGAAAAACATAAAATCTAAGCAATAAATTACCATCAAATATTCAATGCAAAAAAAGGATTAGATGCTTATATACAACAATTATAATCAAAATTTAAGGGCATTTCTTTAACTCAAAATTATCGATCTAAAGATATGGATATCATACTTTTGGAATCGTCAATATAAGATGTATAAAATCCAAATAACCATACAAAACTATTCCTTTAAGCAATCAGAGCTTAAAACCAAAAAACGAGAGAAAGATTAAAATAGATACCATAGTTTTGACGTGATGAACAATTCACTGCACTTCACCAGTTCTGTGGAAAACAGTCCCTTCAATGCAAGCTCAATCTACATTTCATGAAACATATGTAGCAAAAGAAACAATCAGCTATATCAAGTAACATTTGTAAACAAATTGGAATTTTTTTAAAAAGACTGGAAAAGTTTACCTCTTTTTCATTATCATAAATATGGGCACAATCGATGTGCCTATAACTAGCTTGCACAAAAATGAAACCAGAATATTCAAAGCTTCAGCAATTACTTTCCATTTTAACTCTAATAAAACTTGAAGTTCATCTGAACTATATGCTTGCAGAGGTAATAAATGTAACAAAGTTCAATTATGTAATACTACAAAATTCCACCTAGATCCTCAAAGTATATTGATAAAGCAACTAATTTCGGGGCAGAATAAAATTGATGAAAATGGGATCTTTCATGGGTAATGAAGGGAAAATTTATAGAATTAGGTTCTAATACAAGGAAGAGCAGGAAGAGAAACATATCAAAGGCAATAAATTAAAGACAAAACCTTGACTGCAGCAATGACAGCTTCACCAATAACACCTGAAGGAGCTTTCCATGTTCCCAAACCAACAGACGGCATCTTTGCTCCGGTGTTAAGCTCAAAATATAAAGGTCCCTGTCCAGTTTCCTTGTCCATTTTTCACTACAGGAACAACCAAAACAAAGAGCAAATACTAATTACAGCAATAAACTTGCAGTACTATACTGCAATGCAATTGAAAAGGAAACAATTTAAAAAATATATACCTTGTTTGATCCAAATGATAATCAGTAGCTCTTTGGAATAGGTTTGTGGCAGAAAGAGAAAAAAAAGATATAAAATAGATTAGAAAATCACGATTCTTCAGCTCCAAACCCCGAAACTAGTGGGATAGTTTAGGCTGACTAGGTTGTGATCACTGGCAGTGATCTTTGGGAGGCATTGAAAATTTAAATTTGAGTTTAAAAAAATGCCCCTGAAAAATCTTTGGAAGGCTTTGAAAAATTTAAAAAAAAAAAAATGCTTTGAAAAATTAAAAGAAAACTAAATCGGTATCCTTTCGAGAAGACTGAAAAAAGCAAAGAAAAGAAAATAGAGATGAAGAGCAACAAACTGAGGGATTAAGAGGAAAAACAAAGGAAACGGAAGATCATTCGCTTACCCATCTCCTATTTTTTCTTTTGAATCTGTCAACTACTCCTTTTTTGATTCACCTGCTCCCTTCTCAGTCATTCTTTATCAAATCAAAAATCTTCTGTAAAAATCACCTACCCCTTTCTCTCGTCTCTTGTCAATAGTGTTGGTGGGTGGGTGTGATAATGTTGGAGGTTTTTGGTAAATTTATCAAGGAAATTGATATGGCAGAAGAAAAGGAAAAAAAAATGGTTAATGGGGGAGATGTTGCCGGAAGAAAAAAAAAAAAAAAACTGAAAGAGTGCCATTAATGTGAAAAAAAAAAGTCTAAATAAAATAATTTTACTTGAAAGGTTTTTTTTTTAATTTATGTAATTTATATATATACAATTTTCTTATATATTTATTTATATAAGAAAAAAGATAATCATGTTTAAATAAAAAATTTATATAATCACAAGAAATAAAAATAAAAAATAGAATAAACAATATTTTCTAATCTAATATATCTTATTTAATAATGACAGATTTAATTTTTTTAAGTATGCATTTATAATTTATATAAAATATTTTCGGTAGATTTATTAATTTTATTAATAAAAATAATATTTTAAAAAAATTTTGATAATATCAAGAAAAGTTTTTCTTTAATTTTTTAATTTTCTATTTTTGAGAGTGATAAAAAAAATTGAGAGTATTTAGGGAGTTTTTTTTTATTTTTGTTTTTCAATTTTAAAAGATTTCTGAACATTCCATTACACTATTTGAATCCACCCCTGCTAGAAAGATTTTAAGTAAAAAAAAATGTTTTTCCTGCTAATCTCAATTGAATGGTGGAAGGGATTGTTTTTTTTTTATTATTATTTGTAGTTTTAAAATACCTATATCGAAGACACATAAAAGTGGTGATGGGAGCTGATTTGATTTATCTCTTTGTAATTTTATCTATTTCTATGATTTTATTTGTCTCTGAATTCTACGGTAACAATAAGTAATCATTTTTATGGTAAAATGTAAGTGACTTGGATTGAAAATGTATCTGCCACCGGCGTTTCTACAATTAATGTGATGGGACAGAGAGTACGAGAGGATCAAGTAGTATTATACATTAAAGACCACGTTTTTAAATTAAAAAACATATCCTTAGTGGTAAGAAGTCCCACACGGAGCGGGTGAAGTATTATTTTATGACGGGAATTTTAACCCCGTTTTTAAATTAAGAACCGCAGTTAATAATATTAAATATTATTATTTTAATAAAAATATAGTTAAAATATTAAATTAATTATATTTTTTTTTTTATTATCAATCTTATTTTAAAAATAAAACGTGAATTTTTAATATATTATTAATCATTTTTTAAATAAAAAAATTATTTTTATTTAAAAATATTACGTTTTTGTTATTAAAAATATAATTAAAAAATAATATAATATTATTTTATAATATATTAATTAATATGTTTACAACATAACTAACGTGCGTGATATGAAAACGAAACAAAGAAAATCATAAGAAACAAGGGCGATTGCAGAAAACAAAATAAAAAAAGCGGAGCACAAGAGTTGACAGTGAATAAACCAAAGTAAAGTCAAAAAAAAAAAAAAAAAGAAAGAAAACCAGAAAACAGCCACGTGACAGCTCAATGAAAACTTTTGTACTCCGTACAACACATAAGCTCAGGTCCTTCTCCAGCTCTAGTTCCTGAGATTGAAGTAGCACCAGCAGCAACATCTGTACTAGCACCTGCACCATTTAGTTATGGTCCGGCAATGTCCTATCAAGCTCATGCAAGCATTGTAAAGTTACATCCACCTGTAGGTGCATTAGCGAAGTCACTTTATGTTTCAAATATGATTTTCACTTCTTCACCACCACCATATCTCAAACATTCTCGTTCTAGCCCATCACCTGCAACACATAAACATTTATCACCTGGAGCCCATGATAGAACTGTGCATTCAGCGGACGAAAAGAAGGATGTCATGAAGACTGTCATTGCCGTTATTGCTACTGCAGCCACAACATTTGTGTTGTTGGCTGTTGCACTGGTCTTCTTTTGTTGTCTGAAGAGAAGGAGCCGAAAAAAGGATGAAGAACCTCTTATCTACTTTAAGTAATGTACCTCATGGTATGTGGTTATTGTATTTCTTTGTCACTGAGTTGTTAATCATCTTTATTTTCTTGTTCATGTTTCCACAAGCATTTTAACTTTACGATCTTTTAGATTCTTCACAGAAGTCCATTAGTTTAGGAAGTTCCGGCAAGAAAGAATTCAAAATTAGCAGCGGAAAGAGCCCTTCTCTTAATAGTAGTTTGTTCATGAAGCAAGCTAATCATGATGCCTCACTTGCCAAAGCACCGCCACTAGAAGCAAGTGCAGAAAAACCATTCCCTCCCCTGAAACCTCCTCCTGGAAGATTAGCTCCTCCACCTCCTCCCCCTCGTCCTAACCCCCCATCTCAACCCTAAGTTGTTCGTCCTCCACCTATGCCACCAAAATCAAAACCTTCACCTCTTGAGCCACATCATCGAGGACATAATACTTCTGGTGGTGGAGATGAGACTGATGGTGAATCGGGGGCTTCAAAAGCCAAGTTAAAACCATTTTTCTGGGACAAGGTTATGGCTAATTCAGATCAAACAATGGTTTGGCATGAGATCAGTGTTCGATCATTCCAGTAAGACAACAATTCTACCTTATATTAATTTTAGATTTTCTGGCTAAGAATGTTTGTCAAAATCTACTTTGATTCCAAATTGTATTAAAACCCTTTACAGGTTCAATGAGGAGATGATCGAGACCTGATTTGGTTATAATCACAGGACTAATAACAAGAATCATCAAAAGAGAGATTCACCATCAGAACCTTCAATCCAGTACATTCAGATTATTGACACTAGGAAAGCACAAAACTTGTCTATTCTTCTACGTGCACTAAATGTCACAACAGAAGAAGTTGTTGATGCTCTCCGAGAAGGTTTCTATGCTATCTCTTAGAGAAATACTATCAGAAGTATTCTGTTATACTAGCAACCAGAATTTCCTTTTCTGGTTTGACAGACATTTAGAATGCACAAAATTTGATTGAAGAAAGAATTAATTGCTTAAATTGATAATGTTATCTTCAGTTCAGATGCAAATAGTCTTCAGTCTTCACTACTCAATGGTTCCAAACAACTCTTGCCTTTGATATTTTATTTGTTCTTTGCTTCATAGAGTTTGAGTTTTTAACATTTTCTGATGGTTCATAACCATGGTATTAGAGAAGAATAAGTGATGAAAAATTCACTCATATCAATTTTCAGGCCATTTAAGGCTCTTGGACTGTGAATAATATACAGTCCTATATTTTATCTTCCAAAACTATTTCTATAATTTTCATTTTGTCTGAACTAGATCGTTAAGGTTCAGTTCCGCTGTTAACATTTTACTGGTAAATGGTTCTGAGCATTCACCTGTTGTCTTGCTACTTAAGAGAAAAAAGCATGTCAGAGGCAAGATAGTAATTGAGATACTAAGTGCATACTCATTGGTTGCAAGGGCAGAAAGTATTAAATTAATATTCATCTAGCCAGTGAAATATGCTAGTGAAATGTGTGTTCCAGATCCACCTTCTTCATTCTTAAATACATGTGACAACAAACTCTTCAGAATTAAACTGAACCAGGTAACAAGCTTCCAGCAGAGATCCTTCAAACATTGCAGAAGATGGCACCAACAACAGAAGAGGAACTTAAGCTTAGATTATTCACAGGATATGTTTCTCAACTAGGTCCTGCAGAGAGGTTCCTTAAAATCTTGGTTGAAATAGCTTTTGCCTTCAAACGAATTGAGTCATTGCTGTCAGTGACTACTCTCCACGAAGAAGTCACTGGCATTAAATAGTCTTTTGCAACTCTTGAGGTGAAATACTACATATACGAACTGAATAATAGAGAGTCCTTCAGGTTCCCCAAGAAGGAAGGAAATGAAAACTAGAATATTTCTCATAGGTCTCTATTAATTTTTTAGTCAATGGAATCTTGTCCTTCTCAATAATAAGGAGACCACAGAATTCAATGATATCCTTAAAAACATATGTTCTAGGAATTTATGTCCATGAATATAGTTCCTACATCAAAGATGCTTTATTAGATAAAGATAAGTAGCCAGCTGGTTCTGATTATTGTCTTAATGGCAGGCAGCTTGCACCAAGCTCAAAAGCAGGAGATTATTCCTAAAACTTCTAGAAGCGGTGCTTAAAACTGGTAATCGCATGAATGATGGTACCTACCATGGTGGTGCACAGGCATTCAAGCTTGACACACTCTTGAAACTGTCTGATGTAAAAGGGATAGATGGTAAGACCACGCTCCTTCACTTTGTAATTCAGGAGATCATACGTTCTGAGGACATAAGAGCTGTTCGCACACAATTATCAAGAGGGGGCCTTTCAAGCTTCAATTCAGAGGACTTTGTTGAAGATCACAACCAAGAGGCAGAGGAACATTACAGCAGTCTTCGTCTTCAAGTTGTTTCAGGTGTAAGCAGTGAACTTGAAGATGTTAAGAAGGCCGATGTATTTGATGTTGACGCCTAACATCTACTATGTCAAAACTTAAATCATTCTTTGCAAAAAACTACAGAGTTCATGAATTCAAAGATGAAGACTATGGATGAGGACAGTGAATTTTTTCGTTCACTGTCTAGTTTTGTTGATCACGCAGATGCTGATGAAAGGATAATGGACCTGGTCAAGAGCACAGAAGATTACTTTCATGGACAGGCAGGAAGAAACGAAGGCTTGCAGTTGGGCATGATTTCTTGATAATGTTAGAAAAAGAATGTAAAGAAGTTAGTAACACAAGCGCTAAGCCACTCAGGAATTCCGGAAACGAAGGCGCATCACTGCCAGCTTATCTAGAGAACCAACAATCATCTTTGGAAAATCAGCAACCGTTCTCAGATATTCATAAACTACTATTTCCAGCAATTTCTGATCGGTAGATGGACTTAGCTGTACATTTAGAAAGGTATATGAGATTTTCCAATGGATACATATACTATTATTATTTTTATTATTATTATTATTATTATTATTATTATGAGTTTATATTTGATATATTGTTAGTGTATTAAATATTATTATCTTTAGTGTATCAAACATTATTATCCTGCTTTAACTCGTCTACAAGAAAAATGATTCTAGATGAAGCTAATTTGATTAACATAGACATCAAACTTTGGCCAAGGACTTCGGATTTATGTCAGTTTGTTTTATGACA